TGTGTTTACACTTGGCATTAACATGCGATCACCGTGATCTGATCAAGCAGATCGGATCATCAGTCAATCAGGACATGGCTTTGCCAACATTGCCAACATCAAGTGACTTCTCTATCTGGATAACCGATCAGATCCCTCTTTCCCGCACAAGAGTTTCACAAGTTTCACACCGTGTCTACACCGGAGGCGACAAAATACTATAATCAGTGATGCTGTCTACACTGGATGTGGCGCGACACGACAAATCCCCGATAGTAAGCTGCTGCCTCATTCTGTTTATGAGGTACTGACACAAAGAACAAATGATTTGCAACAGTCGCTTTGTCGCGGCCAGTGTAGAGAGCCTCACGCTGTTGCAGCACGGCGCAACAACGGTCTCGTCAAGTGTACGAGTCTCACTAGCGCTCCACGGCCTGGCGTCCTCCATCTTTCTTCTGACAGGTCGGGAGAAAGGGGTGGGGGTTTTGCGTGACGTTGACCTGCGAATGCAGACTCGATGGCTGGATTGCGTTTACATTACACTGAGAGCTGATCACAATGCGTCCTCGACTACCTCTGGACCAGGACACGCTGACCGGATAGCATTCCAATCAAGAAGTGCGTTTACACTTGTCTTTTCAATGTGTATGTGGACAACATCCAGATACAAGTCGCATGTTAATGACAAGCGTAAATGCAGCCTTTGATTTCTCATATAGACTTTAAGGTTTTAAAGCTGATTGAAACTCTGTCTCTCCGGTGTGAGTTCTCATGTGCCTGGTAAGGCTTCCTTTTTGATTAAAACCATTTCCACACTGTTTGCAGGTGTAAGGCTTCTCTCCGGTATGAGTTCTCATGTGGATTTTAAGGTTTCCATATAGACTGAAACTGTTTCCACACTGTTGGCATGTGTAAGGCTTCTCTCCAGTGTGAGTTCTCATGTGTCTGATAAGGCTTACTTTTTGATTAAAACCATTTCCACACTGTTGGCAGGTGTAAGGCTTCTCTCCAGTATGAGTTCTCATGTGGATTTTAAGGTTTCCATATAGACTGAAACTGTTTCCACACTGTTGGCATGTGTAAGGCTTCTCTCCGGTATGAGTTCTCATGTGTCTGATAAGGATTACTTTTTGAGTGAAACTCTTTCCACACCGTTGGCAGGTGAAAGGGTTTTCTCCAGTGTGAACTCTCATGTGGTGTTTAAGGTTTCCATGTTGTTCAAAACTCCTTCCACACTGAAAGCATGTGTAAAGTTTCTTTCTGGAGTGAATTGTGTGCCTGTTAAGGCTTCCTTTTTGAGTATAACTTACACCACACCTTCGGAAGGGGAACAGCTTTTCTCCAGTGTGAGTTCTCATGTGCCTGTTAAGGTGTCCTTTTTTATTAAAACCATTTCCACACTGTTGGCATGTGTAAGGCTTCTCTCCGGTGTGAGTTCTCATGTGTCTGATAAGGCTTCCTTTTTGATTAAAACTATTTCCACACTGTTGGCAGGTGAACGGCTTCTCTCCAGTGTGAACTCTCATGTGGATTTTAAAGTTTCCATATAGACTGAAACTGTTTCCACACTGTTGGCATGTGTAAGGCTTCTCTCCGGTGTGAGTTCTCATGTGTCTGATAAAGCTTCCTTTTTGATTAAAACTATTTCCACACTGTTGGCAGGTGAACGGCTTCTCTCCAGTATGAACTCTCATGTGGATTTTAAGGTTTCCATATAGACTGAAACTTTTTCCACACTGTTGGCATGTGTAAGGCTTCTCTCCGGTGTGAGTTCTCGTGTGTCTGATAAGGCTTCCTTTTTGAGTGAAACTCTTTCCACACTGTTGGCAGGTCAAAGGGTTTTCTCCGATGTGAACTCTCATGTGGTGTTTAAGGCTTCCTTTTTGGTTGAACATTTTTCCACACTGCTGGCAGGCAAAAGGGTTCTCTCCAGTATGAACTCTCATGTGGACTTTAAGGTTTCCATGTTGTTCAAAACTCCTTCCACACTGAGGGCATGTGTAAAGTTTCTTTCTGGAGTGAATTCTTGTGTGCCTGTCAAGGCTTCCTTTTTGAGTAAAACTTACACTGGAGAAAAGCTGTTCCCTTGCCGAAGGTGTGGTGTGAGTTCTCATGTGCCTGTTAAGGCTTCCTTTTTTATTAAAACCATTTCCACACTGTTGGCAGGTGTAAGGCTTCTCTCCGGTATGAGTTCTCATGTGGATTTTAAGGAAAACTTACACCACACCTTTGGCAGGGGAACAGCTTTTCTCCAGTGTGAATTCTCATGTGGATTTTAAGATGTCCTTCTTGACTGAAACTTTTTCCACACTGTTGGCATGTGTAAGGCTTCTCTCCAGTGTGAGTTCTCATGTGCCTGTTAAGGCTTACTTTTTGAGTGAAACACTTTCCACACTGTTGGCAGGTGAAAGGGTTTTCTCCAGTGTGAGTTCTCATGTGTGTGATAAGGTTTACTTTTTGAGTGAAACTCTTTCCACACTGTTGGCAGGTGAAAGGGTTTTCTCCAGTGTGCACTCTCATGTGGATTTTAAGGCTTCCATACAGACTGAAACGGTTTCCACACTGTTGGCATGTGTAAGGCTTCTCTCCAGTGTGAGTTCTCATGTGTCTGATAAGGTCTCCTTTTAGGTTAAAACTTTTCTCACACTGTTGACAGGTAAAATGCTTCTTTTCGCAGCTTCTTGTCTTTTGAGCTCTTTTTCGGGAAGTCTTTTCAGCCTGTGAGCAACTAAATGGTTTTTCTTCAGGTATGAACTTGTGATGTTTCTCAAGCTTATATTTCTCATCTGTTTCGTTCAGAACTTCACTCTCCTCTTTCAGGGTCATCAGACCTAAGGTGAAACAAGATGAATAAATTGAACACATGACCTGCTTTTGGCATCTACTCATGGCTAGATTTCTCTTCTAGTGATGTTAGATCAATTGAGTAGTCAGGCCCACACACACTTATAAGCTGTTTTTTTCAGGGCTGCTTGTATATAATGACTTCTAAGTATCAATTTTCAGGATTCTGTCACTTTGGTCAAGCTTATTCATAACAGTGTTGTAAAGTATTTGAGTAAATGTAATTGGTTACTGAGAGGTATTTAAATGTAACAAATCATGTAAAAAAAGTATTATCTTTTATTAGAAAATTAAACTCTGGCAGGTCTAATGAAGTTCTTCCTGCCTGCATGTGGTTGGCGAGTCTGTTCAACAGTTGCCCTATCAATGGGCAGCGGAAAGTGTATATAATTGACCAGATGGAATCGTGTCTCCAGTCACCGCCCCCAACCAAATGTTGGCTAGGTTGTTGCTGGCAGACTGTAGCTAATGTTAGCTCCGCTCTCCCCGGACCACAAAACCAGTCTTAAAGGGTTAGTTCACCCAAAAATGTTTCACTCACCCCCGAGACATCCTAGGCGTATATGACTTTCTTCTTTCAGACGAATCCAGTAAAATTGTCCTGGCTATTCCAAGCTCTATCATTGCAGTTAGCGGGTGTTGAAGTGCTTCAGTCCAAAAGAAGTGAAATAAAAAGCGCCCATCCATAAAAAAAGTGT